AGGAGCTCACGGCCGAAGTCGAGGGCATAATTGCTAGGAAACATCTTACTGAACAGTTGGCGATAAATGCAGTCAGCCCCCTCCTCGGCTTAAAGCAATTAATTCAGGCACCCTGACATCAACTCTCCAATCCTCTGACAGCTTGGAGCCCAAATCAAAATGCTAGTTCTCCTGGGAACAGCAGAAGATAGCCGGCTCTTTTCTGGACTGTTTGCTCACTGGGCCTGAGAGCAATGTTCCTTGCCGAATGAAATGCAAGGACACAAACAATGTGCCGGCGAGAGAATGGAAGACGGGGAATGAACAGTTTGGACTATTTGCTCAGCAGAAGGGCAGTCACAATAGCTGGCCCATAGCTTTCCCATGCATCAAGCCTCTTAGTCTTAGGGCTCCTTTGTTGCTGGGTTTCGTTCAGATAAGAGTCCAGCTGCCCCATGTGTTTAGTTCTCATTGTATGTTGTACTGTATGGTCATTTAGATACTTTTGCATGGCTTTTCACAATTTCGCAAACAAACACGCTCATGCCACATATTGCGCGCGTATCTCCATGGCCGGGCTTCACCTCTGCATGTGCTCTCATTTAAGGGGGACAGCTGAGCAAAAAGGGGGTGCTTCGAGGGCAATGCCTTATCTTGTCAAGTATAAGGGTTCTGATATGTGGTTTGTGCTAATGATACAGTAGCTCTCTGATGTGTTTCACAAATGAGTGGTAGCAAAAGAAAGCAATTCACACGACTCCTTTGATCAGTAAAAAAGAAAGAGGGATGACAATGCGATGGCTGCTCAAAAAGAGAAAGCCTGTTCCAGAGCTCATGTGCTTCTGTGTTGTAACTGCACACCGTAAAAGGTAGTAAACACATAACGGAAACACTTTATGATGAGGTCTTATTTGTTAACATTAGTTCATGCATTAACTAACATAAACTAGCAATGAGCAGTAAATGTTTATAGCATTTATTAACCTTTGTTCATGTTAAAATACAACTGTTCTTTGCTTGTTTATTGAAGCTCAGAGTTCATTAATGTTTGCAGATGCAACTTTTACTCTTAAAATTGTATTGAGATGAACAAGAACAGAACAAAGATTCATGATCGTTGTTCTAATTAATGTCATTGTAAATTGTTATCAATGCAACTGTTACCATTATTCTCTATTTTCATTTAATCAAACCCTTAAAAAGCAACCTACACTGTAAAAAATGATTGTGATTTTAACAGTAAAAGACTGTAAAAATTCTACAGTAAAAACCTGTTAACTAGTTAACAGTAAGTTTCCATACTATATTCGGTAAATAAACGTAATTACATTTAATGTAATTTTACAGTAAAATACTGTTAAAAATACGTTTTTTGGAAGTGAAAAAGAAAAAGTCATCGTATAGTTTGCAGTGACAAACCGTAAATTGACACTCCCAGAATTCCTTGCATGACACTTCGTATTTGATGTTTTTTTCTTGGAAATAACATGTTTCTTCTTAGTTTTTTTCTTATCAGTTGTGTACATTAGGGTTAAATCTTACATCTAATGTTGTTAAATTAATGTTTATTGCATTATTTCAGAATCATGTGTGTCACCATGATGGGGTTTAGTGTTTGTGTGAATGACACTGTGCACCTTCTATATATAAGTATTGCCCTCCTCAGCTCATAGAAAAGCTGTTTGTGATGAGCTTTGGTTCATCATGTGACTTTCTCATCACCACCAGTTTTTGGTGGTTATCAGTGCATTACAATGGTTCAAAACAGATATTAGTACTTCAATATGTTGGTTTATTAACATTACATCAGTTAATGAAATACGGTATTTTATTGTGAATTTAAGTTAAGTCTGTAAAACCTAAAATGTTGCTACCATATTTTTTACGGTGAAGTTCTGGCAACCACAGCTGCCGGTATTTTACCGTAAATGTCAACAATTTTTTTTGACAGTGTATTGTTTGTTTTAGTCATAATGAAAAATATTTTTGACTTTTGACTATATTTAAATGTGATGTGTTTTTTATATTGCAGAATGTATTCTGTTCTTTTGTGTTCACTCTTATGGTACTCTTTTGTTTGACTATATGGGTTTGAGTTTTTCTCTGTACATCAAACACAACAGTCTTTAGTCAGTTTAAAGTAAAATAGGTCGACCTCTGATTTGTGTGTGTGTGTGTGTGTGTGTTCTTACCACAGTGTTTTGTAATCTCTACTTTAGCAGTGCGGACACATCAGAAAGATAATATGGAATTATGAATGTATTAGGCAGCTAGATATCTGAATAAGTTGATGAAAAGAGTAATTTCATTCCTGTCATGACTCATATACTAATATTAATGCATTAGTGCATAATATGGTTTAAGCAATAGGATGTCATAAAAAGATGACAGATTTCACAGTTCGGTCACAAGGATGTTGGATTTTAATGAAACCCAAAATGAATAATAATAACTTCTCTGGCTTTAAAAAAAAATGAGGTAAAAAGACTCATTTGTGTTTTGTTTTTTATATGTAAGCATGTGAGTGCAAGTATGTACGCATGCACATTTGCGTGAGTGTGTGTGAACAGGTCGTGTGTGGGATGGTGCAGCCTTACGCTTCACTGATAGTAAAGTAAAGCTCTGTTCATGGCTTTTCAGCACTTCTTTAAGTTGCCACCACTGTGTAATTTATGGGTGCTGAGAATCGCTGTTTTGAAACACGACGCAGATCTCTACTGCACAGAAACGGCTGAGAACGACTGACTCATATAAGATGAAACACACAAAATCCGGGTGATTAGCAAGTACCGGAACATGCCAAGGATACAGCTATGGGAACACACACGAATAAAAACACACCCTGCTGAAGGGCTTTTGCGTATACCCAAGTGAGACTTGCTACAATAAACGTACTGTAAAAGTGATACAGTATTTTGGTCATGCATTAAATGAGAGACCAGGAGCTGTGAAAGGCTTGAGTAATACGTTTATTTAGGTATTAGGCTGTGAGAAATGCGGGAAAATATGAAATAAAATCAAGGGCCAGGCGGTGTGTCTGTTATTCTCGTATTCTGTCAATTTTCCAGAACTGAATTATTTGATCCCAATGATGGATTTCTGTATAAAATTGCATTTCCTAAGTTTTTACATTTAAAGTAAATCAATATTATGAATACATTATAAATAAATGCCATCTTAAATTGAAATGGCCGTTCACATCAAAAGTGAAATGACCAGTTCTGAAGAATTGTTTTATTATTATTATTATTATTATTTTATTATTATTTTATTATTATTTTTTTTTTAAAGTAAAAAGGTAAAAGATGACCATTAGTCATGCTCTTAAAGAACATTTAAACTGTTTTGCATCTTTCTCAACTAAACCCACTTCTTAATTCCATATATTTCCAACAATTTCCTTCCAAACTGCTAAATGATAACAGCTTGGCTATACACATGATCTAAAAAAAAAAGGCCAAACGTTATAATCCGTATCTCTTCAAACGTTCCTTTCGCTCTCACTCACAGGTCTGGTCTCAAAGAGTACACCAGAGATAAGACTCAGCCACACAATGTCCCCTCAGTAGGTCTCATTGACCGGCCCATGGCACCGGCCAGGTATGCCAGAAATGTTTAACTAGCTATCCATCTTCTACCTGCTGCTGGTAAACAGACACCTTTGTTTAAAGCGCATTACGGTTAGGGCCTGCTCTGACTCAACAAATGGACTATTTATTTCCCCATTGGCCCGGGCTCAGGAAATATGCCTCTTATAATCCGCTTTTTATTTATCTGACAGGAGTGTGGTAATGCATGTGTGTGTGTGGGTGGGAGTTTCTTCAGAGGAGAGGGGGCACATGGCCTGGTTAACTCGTGATTTTTGCGGTGAACTCATGTTCCAAGCTCTTATCATTCGCGTCCAGGGTGAACAAACAAACAGTGTGTGGTGTAAATCTGGCGGGATGTCTGAACATTGTGGGTTCAGTCATGTTTCTGCATAGAATTTTAGTTAAAGTTTTGCCATTTCCTTAAATTGCATGTGTTTCAATAAAAAATAATGAATAAGGAATATTTGTTTTAAAGTAAATAATTCTACTAGAACTAGAATACACAATTGCATTGCACAGGTAGATCACATACAAATGTGAACCTCAGATCTATGCTGACTACTTAGATTTTCAACCTAAATTTTTTGATCAGTATATTCCTTTGTTAGGAATGAACACACTGCAACTCTTACCTATGAAACATGGACTTAGTGTGTTAAACCCAACTATATGTCTACACTTTAAAAAAATAATTGAATCTTTAACATGATCCACGGAACCTTTCCATTCCATAAAATATTTTTTACAGTGGAAAAGGTTCTTTAGATGATTTAATGTTCTTTACACTACATGATAGTTCTTCTAAGAACTGTTCACTGAAAGGTTCTTTGGGGAAACCAGAATGGTTTTCGGTGGCATTTCTGCTAAAACCCCCTCTTGGAACCTTTAATTTTAAGAGTTTATATGCATTAGGGAATTGCATGGGGGTAGTTGGGGTCTTTGGAACAACCAATAACAAGTTCAGAAAGAAGTACAATCTCAGTATCTTTTCAGTACAGGATTGTGGTTTAGCCAACTTTAATTCCTTAAAGATTGATGTGTTCCATGTTAGCACAAATGACTTTAACTTCCCCAATGGTTGCTGCTATATTTTTAATTATATATTTGAATGTATTTTCTGGAATACAGATATTTAGACACCTAAAATGTGTATTCTTGTCATATATTTACGCAT